AGGTTGGTGCCTTCTGGCACTTTTTGTTATAGTAGTGCTTCATCCTCTTATTCAGAAATTTAATATCTAGTCTCATCTGGTTTTGCAGTTCTTGTAGTTATATTGCCATAAGTTCTACTTCTTGAGCTTTTTGTCATGTAATTCTTGATTGTTTTTGTATTTCCAGTTCTCTGCTATAGTTCATGTAGAATGGTGTCATTCCTGTAGTGGTGTTCTTTGCTCTATTGTAAGCTAATTATATTATAGATAGTAGTATAATCTAATTGTTCTGTTAATAGTTAACATATTCTTGCAGATATTACTTCAAGATTTGATTTAATTGTTCTGTCTGTCCATCTATTTGTGGATAATAGACTGTTGACATTTTTTGTTCAATTTCCAGTTGTGCTATTAATGTTGTCCAGAATTTGCTTGTAAATATGATGTTTTGATCTGTAATTATCTCTTCTGGCATTCTGTGATTAGCAAGTACATTTTGTAGTACTATCATTACTGTATCTGATGCTATTGTTGCCTCTCTGAATAGTATGAAGTATCTATATTTTGTTAATCTGTTGATAACCACTAGTATTAAGTTATACTTCTTTTCTTTCATGTTCTTTAAGTTCAGGAGTTTTATAATAAAGTACATTACTATAAATTTTCATGATTCTTGCAGTTACAGTATTGATTACAGTTTTTTATATAGTCAGTTTTTGTTGACTTTGCTTTGTGCACATATCTTATATTCTTTAACATGTTGTTAAATATCTGTTCATATTTCTGATTAATAGTAAGTTCTCATAATTTTCTTCATTGTCTTGTTGGTCTCAAAATGTTCTGAAGTGACTGTATCATGTTCTTGTACCATTACTTGTTTTCTGATCTCTTTAAGTACACATATCAGTTCATGATATAGTATTATTCCATCTTCTTTCTTGAAGTTTTCATTTTCTTTGTCAATCTTTATTGTGTATTCATCTTTTCTTATTGCTTTTTTAATTCTTTCTTTAATGTTTAATTCTTCTGTAGTGATTCTTGTCACTCTTAATATTTGTTAATTCAGAATCATATTCTTTGTTTCTTCCAATTCTTTAAAGTGTGTTCTTAAATCTTGTTCTTTTTTCATCAGATCTGGTCTTCAGCTTAGTACATCCACTCAGGCATTTTTCATGCCTCTGCAGTATCTTATCTTGAAGTTGTAAAGTACTAGTATATTTGTGTACCATCTGGCTTATCTTTTTGTAAGCTCTTTTATCATCATAAAGTATTACAGATTGTTGTGGTCTAAGATGATTTTTGTTTGATGTTGGTTTTTTTGCAGTTCAATTCTTTATTTCTTCAGTAATACTACTATTGCTAGTAGTTCTTTGTCATGAATATTGTAGTTCTGTTCAGCTGGTGTCATTATTCTTGTATAGCATGTAACTAATCTCAGTCTTTCTTGTTCATCTGGTTATTGTAGTCTTTCTGCTATCATACAGTCTGATACATCTGTATTGATTACACATCTTTTTATCAGATTATAGTGTCTTCTCATTTCTTCTTTCCTGAATTTGTCTTTTATTACTTTGAACACTTGTTAGTACTTCATCATTCATCTGAATAGTTTGTCTTTCTTGAATAGCTGTATGAGCAGTCTCACTTTCTTCAAGAATTCATGTATGAATTGTCAGTAGTAGTTTGCTAGTTCCTGAAATATCTGCACTTCTCTTACTTCTTTTAGTGTCAGCTACTGTAGTATCTTATCAATTTTTTCTGGCTCCATCTGTATTTCTTCTATTAATATGATGTGTTCAAGGTATCTAATTTCTTTCTTATGAAAGTCACACTTTTTTAGTTTTACTGGTAGATTGTATTTTCATAGTTTTTCTAGTACTTTCTTGATCTTTGCAGTGTGATCCTTTCAGTCTTCTTTAGTATATATAACTAAATCATCAAGATATTTTGTTTCAGAATCGGTTTTTCATTCATCACCTTTTTTAATTTATATCTGATGTAGGCATCTTTAATGTTAATTAGAGTAAATTATGTTACTTCTCTCAATCTGTCTTGCACTTTCTCAATCAGTAGTATTGAATAACAGTTTTTGACTGTAATGTTGTTCAACTGTCTATAATTTACACATAGTTATAGAGTTCCATCTTTCTTTAGTGCAAACAGTATTGAGCATTTTGCTGGTGATGTTGACTTTCTTATGTAATCTTTCTGAAGATTGTCTTTAATATATTTCTTCACTTCAGCTGATTCTTTTTCATTCAACCTGTATATTAGCAGTTTTGTTGGTTGTTTTCCTTCTTGTAGCTTTATTTTATGGTTTCAGAGTTCATGCTTTGGTAAGCTGTTGCTCTGATTTCTTTCTCTAAATACATTAATATATTCCCAATATTCTCTTGATAGAATCTTTTTGATTTCTTCATTCTGGTCATTCTTTTGTACTTACAGCTGCACCAATTTATTGGGTTTCTTTATCATTTAATCCACTTTTTCATTATAGGTTGGGTTTTCATGGGTCTCTTTAGTGTTAATTAATCATTTTTCATGTAGTATTGTCTGATTGACCTGACTTATTACAGCCAGTATCTTGTCTAAGTTATTTCTGAGTATGAGTCTTCAATTATAACTTTCTGGTTCAAGAGAGCATCTACAGCTTGTCAGTCTAATCTTTTCTTCTTGCCAGTTAATTTCTGGATTGTGCTGTTTCAACCAAGAGTATCTCAAGACTATATTATAGTTCTCTAAGTTCATCACTTTAAAATGCACTTTCTTATAATATTGTTCTATTTTTATTTTAATGACATATGTTTCTTTTTCAACTCTGTCCAGAGTTTCTCCTTTCAGTCTTAATAACTGGTAGAGGTATTTCTTCATTTACTTTATAATGCCAGCTTGTTCAGTGAATCTTCTGTCAATAAATAGTCCAGTCATCCAGTCACTTCTAAATCTATTAAGACTGTTATGTGCTTTGATTCAAGTAAGGTTGCCATAACTCTGAGATGACAGACTTGTCTGTTGGTGGCTAACAGTTTTGCTTGCCTATTCATACTACTCACAGACTCTCATTTATAGCAGTCTGCTCATTTCTCAAATCAACAAGAGTTATCTTGAGTGCCTGTTTGTGTATTATGTAATTTTCTTTGTTAGTACACCAGATCTTGTGTATTCTTCACATATACTTGTTGTTTCTGTATTCTGTACAGGTTTCATATTCTTCTAAACTATGCAGGGATCTTGCCATTTTTCAAAATCTCTTGTTTTCATGGAATTTATATTGATATTTATACTTAAATTTATTATAGCAAGAGTAATCTAGTTCTTCCATCTCTTTTTGTTTTTCACTCCAGTGCTGTTTACATATTGTTATTGCTAACAACCTGTTGTTTTCTTGACATGTTGTCCAGTGTAATTGATTGCCTTGAATCTGTAATGTTCTTGCTATTGGGCATTTTTCCTCTCCAAGTATCTTGCTTTTTATGAGACTCAATTTTTTCATGACATCTTCTTTATGTTTCTCAAACTCTAGTATTTCTCAGCTTAGCTCTTTTTTCAATTTTAGTGTGAGCTTTTCTTTCTTATTCAACCAACATTCTTTGTCATTACTGTTGTCTTGTTTCTGGATTGCTTGCAGCTTCTTCAGTAGTTATGGATAAATATCTACTGTTCTTTTCATCTTAATGAATAGAGCAATTATTCTTATAACAAAAGCTTCAATGAATTCTAGTATGGTCTGAATGTTTTACATATGAGATATTCTGTAAGTCTAGCATCTCTTATTTTTCCTTCTCAGTGTTGCATCTGCAATGCTGGCAATTTTTGATGTTGCAGTCATAGTCTCCATAATACATGAAGTCTTTCATAATTCATGTCTATTATTCAAACTCTTCTTGTTGTTTCCGGTGAAGTTCATATGAATATTCATAGATTGACTATTGAGCATGTTTCTTGTGTTTTAGGTCTTGAATTTTATCTGTTTTTTTGTCTGTAATAATATTTACAGTCAAGTGGTCAAATTTCTTAATCATCACTTGGTTCATTTCTTGTTCTCATATATAGTTCTTTATATAACTCTTATTTTTCATTATTCAGCTTGTTTCAGCATTTTGATTCACTTTCCAGCTGCTGAAGTAGCTTTAGATAAGCTTTCATAATTTGATCTTCAAATATCTCTCTGAACTGTTGTTGGAGTTCTTCTTCAGTTTGCTCTTTCTGAGTTATTACTCAGAGATACTGTTTTATTTTAGAGTCTTCTCTATTTTCTTCTGAGATTGCTCTGAATTTCTGGTCTTTTTGATCTGTCTTCTTTGCTCTGCATTATCTCACTCAGTGTTCCAGCTTGATACAATAGAAGTATAGTTTTTTTCTTTTTTCTCCATTCTCTCTCTTTCTCATTAAGAGTGTCAAACTTCATCATGTCCAGCTTCATGGGTATATGTTTATAAGAATCCAGTTGTACTTGCTTGTTCCAGCCTCAATTTCCTGTATGATTTAACAGACTGGCTCTCTTTCATGATGCTTTTTCTTGTTTTTCTATCTTTTATTTATAAAGCCAGTTTCTAATCCTGACTGCTACTTTAATCATTTTGATTAGAGTGCATGCTTGTTTCTCCAATCACACTATTTTGTCTTTGATCTCATTGAATAGTGCTTGATAGAAGATATCAGCTAAGGCTTTGTCATCTCAATCAGTATTGATACAGACTTGCTGGAATCTTATAGCATAATCTTGTAATGATATCTTTTGTCATATGTGATGTAGCTGCTGGACTGCTGCAATTCTGTTCTTCAACTTCTCCAAAAGTGGTTTTCAATGTCTGAATAAAGATGTTATAACTGTTAATAATCTTGAACATGTCATTATTCTGATTATCTTCATCTTTCTCATAGTAATTTCACAAGTAGATGTCAAACCAATTGAATGCTGCTCTGTAAAGATATGATGCTGCCATCATCATCTTATTCTTGTTGCTGTTGAGTTATTTGTCTTTCATATTCATGTAGATGTGTAGTTGACTCAAGAAAGCTCATAATTTTCCCTGTTCACTCTTGAAAACTTCTGATAAGTTGACTTTGGCTTTATCTTTCTTTTCCTGTTGTCTGGTGGATGGGATGGCCATGATCTGGATCTCAAGCTGCTCATTATGATCTTTCAATTCATGGTTCTGCTCTTCAAGTTTCTCAGTAATATGTTCAAGCTGCAAGATTCTATTCATAAGATCTTGAGCATTGACAGCTGGTGCTTTGAATGCAGATATAGTTTCTATGTTCTGTTAGATCTTGATGTAGAGTAAAATTGTATTTTTATCTTTTAACATGATATGGAAAATTCTTTCTTTGTATATAATCTCTGAGATCTCAGGTGTATTCTCTTCTAAGTCAGAGATAATTAATATGTTATATATTTATGTGACACTCTTGAATCTTTGGGGGCTAAAGAGTATCACAGTAAGTAATAACAGATTGAAGTAGTGATCAATAGTTTAATAATGCTCTGATTAAGCTGGCAGTCTTGCTCTGATGACAAAGAGTTTCTGTGCAGGTGTAACAGAGTCAGAGCAAGATTATGGAGCCTTCTCAAGAGTAGTGAGATCAGATACAGTTGTACAGTATTACAGAACTTCAGTAGTATAAAAAGTAATCAAGATATGAAAGTATCTAATTCAAAGATATCTAGTAAATAAGTAAGAAGATTAATCATAATGAACAAGTTCATCAGATCTCTGATAATGAGTGTCCTTATATATATAATGCTCTTCTGGTGATAGTTCTGCTAAGCTGTCCTATCTGTTCTACTGCAATATGTTTGCTATGTTCTCTGATCAATTCTATTGTGCTTGGTGCAATCAGTTAGCTTATCAGTTCTATTGCTGGTCATGTGATTCTTGCCTTAAGGTTTCTCTGTGACAGTCTGTGATTCTGCCCTGTCAGGTGTCATCCAATCATTCTGTGTGCTCTGTTGTTGTGCTGCAGGATTTATAACACAGCCTAATATTCTCTCTAGTAGTTCCTCAGATGTTAACTTCTTGGATAGGGGAGATGATGACCAACATCAGAGTGAAAATGAAAATAACCAAGAAGAAATGGAGCAAACATAATTACCAACTGTTATACCAGATGACTGGAGCTTTGCTGTTGTTATACCTCTACAAGATGTTTAATTTATTGTATTTTGTTTGCAAAAGTGAAGTTTTTGCTTGCTCTTTTGAGAGGTTTCTTTTATTGGCCTGCAGAGTGAGGTTTTTACTTACTTATTCAGAAAGTTTCTCTTTCTTTATTATTTGCAGAAGCTTTTATCTTTTCTGGATTTTTCAGAAGATATTTAAAGACTGATTTTTCTTTTCTGAAGCTTTACTGTCTTTTATATTCAAGCTTGATTCTTTTTGCAGATTCAACATTTTCAACACTTCTTCTTGCCTTCTATTTTGTTATTCTGACATTCACAATTCTTTTTGGATTACTGATATTCTTCAAAATGGCTGGACAAAGCAACTTGCCTCCTCTAGCCCCTGCACCTGAAAACCAAGGCCTGGTCATTACCAGAGACAGTGAAGTCAATCTGGATGGCTATTTCTTCAATAATCTAACAGCAGCTATGGAATACATTGATAATCAAGCTCCACACCATCACTACAGCCTACAGATCAAGCTAATGAATGCACTGATGCAAGTGACTGACATGATTACTGACTTAGTGGCCCATTTCTATCAATATGTCAAAAGATCCAAAGCTTGGCAACACATTACACACACCAATTTAAAAGCCAATTTTCATGATGCTTGAAAGATTACCCTGAATGTCAAACAATATCACATTAATATGCAAAAGATCAAGGATAGACTTGTCACTATATAGAGTATTGACAGAATTGATGCCATATGATCAAAAGTGAAGTCTGTAGATAGCACAAAATCTTTACCATACTCTAAATGTCTACAAGAATTGAGATAAGTTTACCAATAATATTAACAGCACAGTGCTCTGAAGACTAGATGCTACAGAAGCTGGATATCACCAGAGCTTAGCTATATTGCCAGATGATTATACTACAGCTAATAAAGAAGTCAACTGCATATGCAAACTTTCTTCAAGAGATGCTCTACACTGACAAGATCTTATCATTGGCAACTACAGTCTTCTACAGCCATTGGCTCTTCTACAGTCATCTAGCTTCCAACATTCAATTCAGGAGATCACTAGAAGTTCTCCCACTGCAAGCAGCCTCCAAGATCTACTACAAGAACTGCAGTCTCCAAGATCATCAAGAGACATTCTAATAAGTGGAATGTCTATGCCATATAGCTGTAATGCGTTGGAAGCCTCTATACATAGCATGATATCAATTAGATCATATGGATTTGAAACTGGCCAATTATAGCCACTATTTGAATTCACCAGCATACTGGCCAATCCATCCAGTTAATCAGAAGCTCCAAAGCACTGCAGTGAAAGAATTGTAGTCATGTCAGCACATCAAACTCTCCAAGACTTAGACAATAATGACAAGTTCATTATTTCTCTTAAAGGTAATGAAGAGATACCTCAATACAAGCATAAAGAATCTGTCATGGCAGTATACTCTGATACTTGCTGTTGCCATAAATTTGAACAGCAACTCCTGCAACAGATAAAGAGTACTAAACTTTGTTCAGAATTGGAGCTTATTCACATTCTGGAGCAATTAGAAAAGGCATTTAGCAATAAAAAAGCTGATATCTACCTATATTATAATCATGCAAAACTAATAGCTTCAAAACTCAGGTTGCAAACTTGCAAACTTAATAGAAAGAAGCTTCTCAATCATTTGACTCACATTTATAGAAATCATCACAACATTGGTTCAGTTAAAATCAATAACAGCACCTATCTCTGGTTCTATTTGACAAATAGACCAGCTAGAGCTAAAGATGCTTTAGGCATTTACAAATTCAAACATCAGCCAATTATCTCTCTGGTCACAAACATGAGAACATTCAACTTTAACCAATACATACAGATTGCTGAAGTTAACAAGTTCACTACCAGCAATCTTCAGGAGGAATGGGAAACCACTGGGTCTGTCATTATTCTCCAGCTAATGCACTGGTGGAACAATAAGTTATAAGACACCACCACTACAGTACTCACTCAGATCAATGGTGAATATGACATGTACTACCATCATCAACAAATAATGGGAGGTCACAACAATTACAGATGATTGAGAACAATATACCACAGTATCAGCCAATAACTTATATGCTAGAACCCTGTATACTATCTTTAATATGTGCTGACAAGACCTGACCATACTTGGAAATTAATCTCCTATTCATATTACATCAAGTATGCAAAGCCAGGGGATGAAACAGGATTTTACCATATTAATGTCAATGTTCCAGATGCTATTACTACTGGAAGAGGCATTAACATGATACAAGAATTCTTGATTTTAACTGCAAAAGAGTCCAGCAACTGCACAGAAATCTTGCCAGAAATATATAATCATCTAGAGAATTGGTGAGGATTAGTTAAAGAACAAGACTTATCTACTGATGGCTATATTCACTACATTAAGAATACAATGTATACCAAAGACAACAAAAGAAAATTTGGTATTAGATGGACTGATATTATTTGCAAATCTGGTGATATCCAAATTACAAGCCCTCTGCTGCTCCATGGAGCCCACAGTCCATAAAAAGGGTCCAGCATAGTATGCTACCCTGGTATATGCCAATCCAAAAGAACCATAAATATCTTGAAGTCAATAAAGCTGGTATCTGGTCACAGCTCTCTGCTGCACATAAGAATCTAGTTCCAGAGTCATTATCACTCTCTGGATATTCAAATTATTATATATCAGTTTCATATTAATTCCCTACTACTATTCAATTGCAAGGCTTAGGAGCTATATCAGATGCCTTGATAGACCAAATTAGGTGGAACAACTCTATAGTGATTGAGGAGCTTGATACCCTCTTTGGATCAGAAGAGAAGAAGACTCAGAACTTCATCAATAACTGGTGTCTAAAGGCCACACAAATTACTTTGGATGCCATTGTCAAGACATACTAAATTAAAAAGAAAGCTTTTGGTAACAAATTCTATTGGCATTGTGTGTATAACAATATTAATCCAGCATCAGTTCAGCCTTCTCCTTCTCCTGAGAACTTGATAGAAGAAGAGAATCATAATGATCACTATTAGAGATTGCTGCTGTCACTCTCTTTATTCTTATCTCCTATCTCTTTGCTTATCAAATTATTACCAATTCTTATCCTTTTATTTTCTTTACTAAATTGCCTTTGTTTTGTTTCATATGTTGCTTGTTGTCAGGGGACACCAACATTAAAAGTCAGGAGAAAATGTAGTGGAGATTTCAGTATCATATTAGAACAAAGATTGTTCCAGTCCAAGGTACAAAACCCCTCCCCACTACTATCTCTGAGTTATATAAATCATTCATAGCTCCTGCATCTCACTCAACACCTGTGTGCACCTTTGCATCTTTCTACTCACTTGTTCTTTATTATTAGTTCAGTTATTAGTTAGAGAATATGAAGATCTCTTGTTCATAAAGCTTGCCACTGTTTCTTATTAGAGCTGCCTGTATTAGTATGAGCTCTTTACTACTATTATTTCTTATGAGCTTAGGCATCTATTAAGGCATGCTTCTCTGTTCTTACTACTCAGCCATTACTATTCTTACTATGTTGTGATTTTTCACCTTTCTTGCACTCTCACCACATCAACCAACTCGCCTATCTTGATGAGGTATCCCATTGTACCCTAATTCACTGGTTCTCTTGTTGATATTCTTGGAAACATGTAGTGAGTTGGGGGGGAGGTGTTGATTGCATTGACAACAAGATAAATCTATTGTTAAGCAAAGATTAGTAAATTAACTTAAGTATATCAAGACTGTTACTAAATTTTGTTACCTTTTGACAATACAAATAGAACTGGGATTTCTAGTCCCATCTTACACTTTACTGGTCCTGTCCCATATATAATATTGAAATGCCAGTCCTATTCTATTTTGTGATGGCCAGGTCCCAGGACTATCCTATTAGCTAGATTTTGATTCCAGTCCTAATCTCATCCCAATTCCAGCTCCCATAGAACCATCTCAATATGCTGTTAAATAACCCAGTCCCATTCTGTTGAGCTGAGCTTCAACCCAATCCTGTCTTTGGAACAGGAATTGGGATGGGAATCCAGGACCAGAATAGGAAATCCTGGAACTGGATACCACTTTAATGAAGCCTCAGACTACCAAAGAGATGATCTGAGGTAGTTGCAATAAAGCAATGAAAAAAACAGAGCTTCAATTGTAGGCTTAAAGTTAGCAGAAGAAAGAGACTGATATTTTTAATAAATTTATAGGCTTGAGATAATCAGAAGAGTGGCATTTCTAATCTATCACAAATATTCATTTCATCCAGTAAGTCCAGCCAAAATCTCATTCATCTCAAGACTCTGGCTCAGATACTTCAGAATCAATATTATTTCAGTGCATTCTCTGTAATTTCTCATGCAGCAAGCAGATTAGTGAAAACTACTTCAGTTAGCATGAGTCATAAGCAGCCACACAAGTATGTAACTGAGAGATATGCAGTTCAGACACAAGTACAAGTATATCAAAAGCAACAATAGCAGCTACAAGCAGTTACATCAGCAAGCATATTAATATTGTTCCAGAATATCTTCTTGATCTGTAATTTCTGAAGTACAGTCAGTCTTTTCCAGTCTGTTGAGAATTCAGTCTATATATTTGCAGATCTACAGAAAGCTCTTAATGTAGTGTCTGTTAAGTACAGAAGCTCTGAATTATCAGACATGATTAAAGAGTTTACTTGAGTCTGAATCTGATAAAATGAAGTACAAGAGCTTTTCATCATCAGCAGAATCCAGCAGTAGTGAGAATAATCAGTTGTCTACAACAGAATAAGATAATCAAGTATTTTAAATCCCTAACTACATTCTAGATCCAGTACTGCTGCTAATATCTTCAGGCCTGTCCAGCCCCAGTATACTAGAGTCAAGATCAGATTATAGACTTTTCCTGCCTACAAATACAGTGGAATCTACAGAAGAGAACAATATACATATACAGAAGCTAATAATATAGCTGCAGACTTATTATAAGTACTCTACTGAGACTCATACTGTATTAGAGCTGCTCTTTATGCTGACAGTATCTCTCTTACAAATGGCAAGCTGGAAATATCTAGATATCTTAGAGTACACCAGCATGTCTTTCTATTTTATACAGTGAGACATCATCCTGCCAGTTCATCAGCACTAAAGACTATACAGTAAGATGTCTGCATCAGTAGAGTCTTTAGCTCAGGAGAAAGTACCTTCATACACCATGACCATTAATCTGAAAGATGATACCATTCTAATGCCAGCATCTCTGCATGCTATAATTAACATTAATAGTACTGATAATCTGGTTTCAAGTCTTACAGTAGTCTGTAGAAAATTTCAATGAAAAGCCAAGTGATTTCTGACAAGCAATCTGAAGAGTTCTCTTCACTTAAATCTTATTTCAGTCCAGTGAAGAGATGAGCAGACTGAAAGAGTCTGCCAGTTTCAGAGACTAGTTCATCAGATTCCTTATCTTCTATTTGGACAACTGGTTAGATTTTCTGAAATTAAGATTTATATTCTTTTTCCCCAGCTTTTCAGCTTCCAGTGCCAGCATCACATTATTATACAGCAGAAGTATACTTTCTGAACAGATAAGATTTTTCTTCCAGCTCTCTATTATATTTACTCTGCATTTACACTTCTTTATCTGTTATTCAGTACTGCACATATCCAGCTCAGTTTCACTGCAGCTCAGACAGAAGATTATAATCAGACTTTTTATAAGTAGCTACAGATACAGAAGTTCTACTTTTCATTACAGCTAGCAGAATTTCATCATTTCTGGAAGCATGTACAGATAATTATTCAAGATTCAGAGCTTCAGTACTTTCAGAAACTCATACTTCTTCTGACTGCTAAGAATCTGAAGCTCTTAATCCAGTATATTATCTGATCCAGCATGCATGATGCCTTCTTTTATACATGAAATCAGGCTGTGAACAGACACTATCTGACTACCAGCTTCTATAATATTGACAAGAAGATGATCTTGCTCTGAAGCTTTCTGTTATATTAAAAGCTAATACATATATTCTGCATGTTTATCTAATAATATTGCTGTCTGAATTATTTCTGTAAATAACTAAGAGATTTGCCAGCTGTATAAAGAATCTCTTCTCTTACTTTATCTGAGTTCAATAGCTTATCAGACAATTTAATAAAGATACAGATCAACAATAATTATTCAGTAGCATCTGTTCAGCTTCAACAGTTCTGCTAACTTTACAGTCATGTCCAGCAAAGAGTGATATCTGAGATCTCAAACTCCAGCCACATCTAATACCAGTCAGTAGAGCTAGTACTTGAGAGTGAGAATGAAGATATATACCAGCCAGAACTCAGTAAGAGCAGTAAAGATAAAGATAAAGAAAGTACCAGCAATCTGAATAAATATTCAGCAGATAATACATCAGTTGCCAATGCTCAGACTTTTGATTCAGAATATAAATATTTACAGAAAGAGTTCTAGCACAAGCAGTTCTATTTGCTGTTATTTCTGTATAATCTGAAATTCATAACACTAGAGTCACATCAGTACTCTCTACTTTGCCACTGGAATCTGCTCTACTGCCAGTTCTACAATATTATTAAGAAGATTTTTGTGACCAGCCAGCATTCCCTATTTGCAAATAAGAACCTGAACATATTAGCTCTGAATCCTGAGCTGATACAGATCTGGCAGCATTTTAGAAAGATCATCAGTCATTTCTCTCTAGTCTTACTGCATGTATATATTTACATCAAGCAACAGTATCATGTCATCATCTCTGACTGTTATTAGTAATTCTACAGAACTTAGAAAAAGTACTGAATTACTGCTGCTGTCCTGCAGGCCATAAATCAAATTCTCCAAAAAGATAATCTAGCTAATCATTCCATAATTATACTCTAATACTTAGTACTCTTTCTTAACTATTGCACCAACTAGCTTCTGAAGTGGCTGCAGTAAAACATTAACAAGCTGTGCACTGGATTTAAGATAATCTACAGTCTGCAGCCATACACTGTGGTGCACTAAAAACACACTCAGATAATAATAATATTTCTTCAATATCTTCTGTACATATATGAAGGCCAGAGCAATCATCTCTACTACAGTAATAGCTTGTAATCTGATCATCAGATGCAATCATTTTCAGAGAGTTTTAATACAGAGCAGATTCAGAAGAGTCTTGAGATGATATCTATACTGGAGCTATATAACTATGCCTGATTTCTTAACAAGCTTGACTGAATGGCTATAATATTCAAGTCACTACATCAGATACACATGATCTTCAACACCCCAACTCTACAGATAGTTTATCACTAGCAGTATCAGCAACTGATTAAGTTCAAGTGTGACTTTATGCTCTTTTATAATAT